CTTGATGGCAACAAGCTGATGCCAAAGGAGAAAGAGAGTGTTGATTCCAGGCAGTTACTGTAGCACTCCCCATCCAATAACGCAATGAATTTGTTAATGTGTAATTAACAATGACCAATGCAATGTACCCTTCTGTGAAACATGAAACTGGCCTTGCTATGGCTTTATTCACTATTAAAATTTCTCTACTTGTTTCAACAGTTATCCCCCTGTCCGTTGGCAGCGTTGAAGATATTGTATTTAAAAGGTTGATCGTATGCAAGGTGGCTCCAAGGGAGCGAGAACTGCCCCCTGTCAGAGGGCTGAAGGTCTAGGAACGATGGGCAATAGATCCAGCAGAGGGGAGAATGAGTTTTTATGTCTCGGGGATTTTGGGCTCTTTTTTGAATTTACTGCCCCAACGGTTGGCATCGTGAAAGACATCGGCATCACCACTCGCATTGATGGGATTATCATCCTGGCCAACCGATGCAGAGAGTCCGGCATTGCCGAAGCAGCGTCTCAAAGCCTCAGTGGACATCCGCAAGGAGGTGTTAAGTCTGGGCGACAGGCTTCTTGGGGTGCCGTTTGGGCCGCAGATTCTTCCAGGGAGTGAAGAAATCGCGTATCGAAGTCATGCACGAAGATCAAACGATAGAAGAAGGAGCCTTACGAATGGGTTTCTTGAACTCTGAATGAGAATTATTTCCTCATCGAAATATGTAAATTCGGCCGACTCCGTCCGGCGGCCATGCTCCCGCGAATTGCTTTTGATGATTGTTGCACCCTTGTTTGCCACACGCTCGATATATGCTTACCATAGAGTGAGCACCTGGAAAACAGGACCACGGTTTTGACCATGTGGAAATTTCTTGTCGAAATCGTGTTGGATATAGACAAATACTATTGAAGCTCTCTTTACGCCGTATAACTTCTCACAGGGTATCATTCCTAAGCGGGCTCTAGAAAGACGCACACCATGAGGAATCAAAAGAAATCCGGTCCACGCCGGCCTGCCATTCAGCAACTGCCTTCAATTACAGCGAGAAGACAAATCAGTAGGAATTATTGTTCCACGCGGGCACAAATCTCCCATCAAAAAACCCTTTCAGTCCTGAATCAATGCCGCTGTGCCGCAAAGTAAACTACCGCCATGGGTCCGTAGATAACCAGACCAAGTCCTCCAAAGTATATCATGCTGTAGTATAGAAAGTCGCTCGCTGTATCATCAAAACTTGCACACAAGATCCGGAGTCCATGGAAATTGCTCGCGATATAACCCAATAGTAAAAGGATTGCCAGGCTTCGAATGAACTGAATGTAAATGAAGGAATACCGAAAACCGTTTCTCTCCCGTAGGAGTCGTAGGTAGGCGGCGAGGATGAGCCCAACAACAGACAACAAAGCCGGAGGGAGAGCAAGAACCAAAATGCTTTTAAGTACGTTGGTCAACATATTTTTGAACATGATAGATAACATGGAGTGATCGGATACGGTGTGGCTTGGTCTCGCGTGATCTCGCACGATGAATGCAAAGGTTGCGATCGTTGAGCTGAAGGTGGTTGCAGATAAAATAGCGGTGGTGAGGAAGAGTATGAAGAGATGTATGTAAATCATATATCCAGTCACTGCGATAGATATGATGTACTTTCAGATAATTTCGTCTGAGTACAAGGATCTTGCTCCGAAAGATAGTCAAATCAGGTGAAGAGTGGCATGGAAAGTGATTGAGGAGGCAATCATCCAGGGACATCTTATAGTATATGAACATCCAAATTGCCACCGAAACCCTAAGGAAAAGTTGGTGAGCCGACCTGCTATGTCAGTGCTGTGGAGCTTTACGATCTTTAGAGTGGTTCAGGTCAAGCCTGTGGCTATGTAATGAATCTCCTAGGATCTCTTCGGTCTCACAAACAGGCAAGGCATTCGGACCTAGTCGATAAATGGCAAATACTGTCGGCCTTGCGCTTGAGGAGCCGAAATTGGCATCCTTGGCGGGTACGTTCGGAATATACCGACGGAAGTCAGTCGAGACCATACGCACTGCCATATGAGCTCGAGAGACGACTCAATTTGGTTTCTCCTACTGGGACTGAGGATGCAGTTCCCACAAGGTGATTGTTAAAGGCATGACCCGGAGGCATCCTGGTTAGCTGGGAAGACAATGACGCGGAAGCATTTTGCACGCTCGGCCCAAGCGGACTAACTCTCATATTGTGCATTATTATGATAATTATGGAAACACTGGGACGGTATCTCTCCAGATAAAGCAAGCAAGTGGTCATCAATCATCCAAGGAACAACCGCTCAACCTCTGGTACAGCCCTCGCCACGTGGTGCCCTGTCGCTATCGCCAGCAGTTCGCTCGCCAGACAACCTGTCGCCCACATTGCGTTGAACGAAGGTCGAGCTTTTTACGGAGTGCCGTCTAATCAAATATCGCCAGGGCCGTATGAGAGAGTGGAGCTCTTACGGAAAGCGGCTTTGCTTTGCGCTCTGCCATGTATGATAATGTGACAGGAAGGAAGAGCGCAGGCAACTCCTCCCTTGCACGACAAGCGGCATGACTATCGCGACTGTACGGTATCTAACACATTTTATGCTAGCATTCCACGTAGGCCAGGCGCCCGAGATTGCGTCGATTAAGGTCGCCTTTTTCTTGTCATCGATATAGAATTCATGGCCATTCTCCTCGACAACAATAACAACGGCCAATTCTGTTCCCCCGTTGTGAACTTGCTGCTTTAGCATACAGAGGAAGCGTGAATAATACAGCTACTCAAGGTTTTCTGAACGTTACATTTTCCATATCACGGGTGGTTCAGGAACTCTTATTATGCCCTATTAGCGTTGAATACTGCCAGGAGGCAGTAAGAGCTAAAAAGTCGATAACATCAATCGTTGGGATTTGCCCATATACCGTTCTTCTGTTCCTAAATTTTCCGTGATCTCTATCCCCAGAATCTCCCTACTTTTCTGATCAAATCATATAGTCTTGAATTTAACCATCACAGCCTTCCTGTGTTGATTACTCTGCAATGAAGGCAGTGGTAGGGAATCGATAATCTATTCCGGTGTCAATGTCCTGCCTAGTTTCAAATTTTTTAAACTCACCCATCCAGTTTTCGGTCTCATTCATGGCTTGAGCATAGGCTCCGTAAACACTAGGTCTTCTTTTATTGATCACTTCGAAACTCAAATCGCCTCTCGTTATTTGTCGACGGAGTTTCTTGACATTAGTCATCGCTTGAGATAGAATGTACTTTCGGTATTGCAGCTCCTGGGGTGATGTGAGCCAGTGACGTGATTTTAGAAATGCTTGATCGATATGAAATGCTTCTCGAAGCTTTCGGAAGAATGTCCAAGAGCCTCTCATATCCCAGAAACGTTCAGCGCTCTGCCAGTCTGTAATTTTTTAAACGCGGTCCACTGTTACCAGGGTTGATATGTAGACGTACCATGTTTTATATATTGTGGAGGCTCTGAGGAGTGTGTTCGATACAGCTTAGGACAGGCTGCCATCTCTGAATTGGACGGATACTATTGCATAATGTAAGGAAACGGCGGCGGTCAACTGGTTGTTTTATATACGAGACAATTTTAACCTCATATTTTTATACACTTGTATATCAACATATCGCGTTCATTGTATAAATATAGGGTTGTCAATTAATGTAGGTGTGCAGTAAACCCTGTATACCATTTTCAATGGGGGTGATCCAATTCAATGCCACATAGAAATGTTGTCAGACAGGGTTCGGGTATTGCATGTACCTTGGACAAGGTGCGAGTGACACTCGGGTGGCGCTTGGGGGGATTTATGCGGTTGACTCACCCCACGTGGTTCACCACTTTAATGTTTTACCCCCGTTGTCAATGTAGCGTCAACACGGTCAACACGGTCACAATGTCGACATGCACACTAGTATCCGTGAAATACGTGGGAAAGGTCGACGTGAAATCGACGTGAAATCAACAGGAACAGCCGAACCGTGACGTGATAAGATCTAGACGGGCTGCCCCCTTGGATCTGTCTCTCCAAAATTGCCTCTCGCATTGAGATTGTTTACGGAGAATCACCTTTAACAAACCGTTGAACAATAAGGATTGCGTTTCAAAATGCCTAGCGAGTTGGGGACTCAGGTGTTACATGGGCCGGTCTGAACGACCACGTGGGGACTGGCGGACGATTGGGGTTCGACGCTTTCCCTCTGCGCCAACGTTTGAGGTCTACACTTCGTCTTCTGTCTCCGACACAACTAGATGCAGGGCAGAAAGACGAGTACAATTCATTTACGACAAGAATGTTCTCAACGTTAGCGATGGACCCACCGCAACAGTTGACCATCACCCTTCAACGGTGAGACCCACTTGTTGCTCAGAAAAGTTCCCCGGGTTATCTGATCCATGGTACGCCAGGCGATCTGCAAGTATCGATCCGCACAGAAGCTCTGCTCCAGGACTGAACAACTAGGATCACGTGCATTTCCCAATAGTATGGCATCCCCTGTTTGTCAATAGGTATAGAGGAAATAAATTTGATCCTATGGCCCTAGTTACAGTTATAGACGGGAGATTCCATTAGTTATATAGTGAGAACTTGTGTGAATATTCATCGAATAAAGTGGCTCCTGGGAGCAAGTCTGGGCTTGACTCAAGGAAGACGCTCTTTGGTCATTGTGACATGATTTTGTTTATTCTGTGTCTGTATTCCTGATCTGCATTGGCTTATACCGCAGTAGTGTTGGGTGTATCCGATTACCTCCCAGGATGCAACGGGTGAGGACTCAAAAATGAACAGATTGGCCCCGGGACTAACTGTGGAAATTTCTGGAAATTTCGCCTTCCCAGAGCAGGTAACAGTAGGCTCTTCTGCCAGATAGGCCGTACCAAGCTCCTAAGAACTCCCGCAATGTCGCAGTTAGGATATATTACTGCATCATTCCCTCTCTGTACCGTAGTATAAAACACTAACTCGGTCATCCACATTCAGAGATCGATTTTCCCTTTTACTATTCATAATGACGAGCCTTAATGCAGGGGAAGATTTTCCCGACCCTATTATTATACCCGATGAGAGCGACACACAGAATATCGCAGCTGCATCAGATTCTACACAAACAGCCGGACGGCCCTTGAGTACCTCGGGATACGTGGAGGCCACGGGGGTACTCGTTGGGTTGAACACTAGTGCACAGGGGGCCTCGACCTCCCGCAAGCGAAAACGGACGAAATTGAAGGAACTTTCCGACTTGGTATGTCCGAGTTTTGTGGCCTGATCATTATCTGCGGCTGATCAAGACCAGGATCATACTTTCAAGAAATTTCGGAGTGCAATTGACAACGAACTCGATATATTACGGAACGAAAATCTGAAGCTCCAAAATGATCTTCATGCGGAAAGGGATAAAAAGCAAAAGTTACAAACCGAAGTCTTCCAGCTGAGCAAAAAGTCGAACCTTGAGTGCAAAGTTTGCTACAGACAGGAGGAAAAATGGACAGTGCTTTTATGCGGGCACATGTTCTGCTGGTCATGTGTTGAAAGCCTCGAGCAGCCACGAAGATGTCCCTACTGCAGAGCTGATGTAATGGGATACTTCGTCTGTTATCCATTTGCTGGGTGAACCGAAAGGGAGAGCTCCGTGGATTTGAACACGGTATTCTATCGCGTAGGCACTGTTGATGGTTCAGTGATGCATGTCCGAGATTCTCCCGGGCCAGCGCATTGTAAAGCTAGCATCTGACCTTGCCTAGACATCTTATCAAAATCAACAGAACAATATTTTATTCACTAGAATTCCCAACGTAGTTTGGCAAACAAGGTGCCAATATCAGAAGGATCCTAGAATTTTTTGTATCTGAACTGGTTGCAGTGCCTGACTGTCTTGAACCGTACAGTACCGGAAGCCAGAATATTGAAGAAATTGAGATTTCGTGCATGCGAAGGCTCCAGGACTAAACATGGGCTGATACTGATCCTCCGGCCACAATCTGTTCCTGAGAATGGCTTGATTTACTCTGGCATTTACAGTAGTATACAAATTTTACACAAGATCACCATCGTTCCACTGGATTTAGTCTAACTTACTTGACTGACTACTCCATATATGTTGTAACCTTGAATACATATCGATTTTTCCATTCGATGGCCACTAGGCAGTATTATCGTCTGCTCTGAGTAATTGAAAGATGCCAAGCAGGCCATGCGATATTGCGAAAACAGCGGTTCAATGACTGTATTACTTAATAATGATTCCGTCCCTCTCTCTCTCTCTCTCTCTCTCTCTCTCCCTCCCTCTCTCTCCCTCTCCCACAGTCTCCAGATAAAAGATGTGTATGCTAACCATTTGTGTGCATTGGACAAAGCAGCAAATGATGCTATGATTGATTCCACGCCGAGGCATAACTGGCAAGTCTAACTGCGGTTTTCTGGCAAAGGAAATCCACCATAGCCAATAATAACCGCAAGTCTGACTGGACCGGGCAGAATCGTGCCCCCTCCTTTACCATTGCCGACCGTCGTGGAAGTGTAGGCATTATGGACAGCAGCGCCTCTTGGGGAAACAGAGGAACAAGTGTCTGAGTGAACGTCACATATTCTCATACCTTGAACTTCCAAGCCCATCATCTCTGTGGCTATCGTGGAAACAACAAAGGCTGATCGGCCGAAATTGATCTTTGACCCAAAGTTGAACTCTCCCCATGTTGCAGTATACCTGCCATCCCCGTCAACTGGAACGGACAGACCTGGAGCAGCAGCCCATCCGCCTTGAGAGTCGTCATCAAAAGCTATATACCGAAACTGGCCACGTTCCAGGGTGAATGTTCTGCAGGCGTTGCCACGCCAACCTCCTAGACGTCCATCGGGGGCAAAGTTATTCCATATCGCCACGGTCCATCTCTGGCCAATACTGGGAGCCTCGAACCGGACAACATATTTATACAGATTTGCGGCCTCAGCAGATACCTCGATGATATTGCTACCGTACGGATTACCAACATTGCCCGCGTATTGAACCCCTTTTACCTGGGAAGTCGGACGTTTCAGTGGTTTCAACGCAAAGGGGGGCATACCCATTTGAGCTGGATTGCTGTGAAACATGAGCTGTGTTGGGTCTATGGCATTGGAGAGCTCATAACCACGACAGAAGGATTGGAGGAAGGACCATGCCAGAACCCAGAGATGTGGTAGCATTGTCGAGAAACGAATATTGCAGCGCGCAGGGAATGATGTACAGAGTATGGTGGTAGGTGGCAAAACAATAGCTTTGGACGAGACGCGGCGGCCTACAAATACTTGCATCTTGTTTACACGTGTTATCAGGCCAGTCTCATAGCACTTAGAGCACCCCTATGTTAAGGAGTATTTCATAACACCCCTCTGTCTTGAAAGACAAAAAACAGATTACTTGATAGTTCAAAGATCTGAATATTTGAAAAAGGTGAAGTTTTGGGAATAAAGCAAATACAGATTCAACGTAAGAGTTTGCCCAAAGTGACAGCCAACGGGAATATTATCAACGTAGTCCGCAAATAGTTTCGGAGTCATTCAACTTTCCGATTACCAGTACAACAAGAGAGATGGTTTGTTTCAACTGTGATGTGCCGGACAACAGAAGATCACCGTGTAGGGATTTGGTTTGGTATTTGGCGCAAAAGAAAAGCGATGGCTTAGTCGCAGAATTCAATTCGATCATGGCTCTGCGAGATACCATGAGATGGTAGCGCAGCAATTGGCCAGATGAAGAGAGTGATTCATAGGTGACTCTCTTACAGGACTGCCATTGACGACAAGCAACAATAGGGGGTGTGTTGTCAAATTTCTCATTAATAAGTGTCTGCTAAGTAGAGTCTAAAGGAGTCATGTATTCTTATGATAAAGCGATAGAAAAGTGAGGGCGAAGGTCCCTGATCACGCTTTGATGCAGCAATCTGACCAATCTTGGTACTTTATTCGCACTTCATGTTTCATCCTCAAGTAGATATATGTACAATTGCTCCGAAAGGATGCCCTCATGATTTGATAATCGCAAGCTGAATAGGGTATCTTACCAGGCTCTCTAAAGTCCTTGGGAGCAATTTAGAAATGTACGGCTAGAAATTCCCTCGGAAAAAATGGTACCACGATGGCCCTCAGTATTCTCTCGTCAAGTGCCAATCTCGTGGTATAAAGTGCCGAGAAATGCCATCCTGGAGAGCCTAAAAAGTGTTATCATCATCTGCGCATAAAGTCAGACGAACTGGCTGATTCGGAATCCAAAGGCCATCATGCCGATGTATCAGCAATCTGAAGTTGATGAAATGGAGCTGGATGTCTTTGATCATCGCCGACGACGATTCCAACTGTCCGCGAGAGTCCACCTCGCACATTTTTCTTTTGAACACAGCTTTCGCAGGCAGATGGATAATGGGGAGAATACCAGGCGGCTCAAGCAGGGCATGAAAATTCAAGGTTGCCGACGATTAATGCAAAATAATCACGTTCCAGTGATTGTGCCCCAGGCCGATTGGAACACCCGTGTTCGCCCGCGTTCACGCGACGATATCAATTTCTGGCTAGATGTCGATCCAGATTATCAGCTCCGCGCCCAGGACCATGAAAGTCTCGTGCGAGCCGCCTTGAGCAATCTCAGCATTCAGGACCAATGGTGGATGGCCGATGTGTATGTAGTAGATGAGGATGGTAAGCTGGTCAATTACTTTCCACCAAAGCGTAGATAGAAGTCAGCCTTCTCGCTAATCATTGTGGCTAGACGACCATGACAGCAACCCTGATACGGTGAAGCGATTTTTCCGGTCACTGAACGAGCGTTTCTCTAACGATCGCCGACCGCCTGATGGGTTGATATATGAGCGGATCCGTTACTATGAAGGCTACCTAGACGGACCGATGGATGAGTGGGCTGCGAAGGATTGGTGGGCCATGCTAGAGACAGCGCCGGGCAGTAAAAAGGGAAAATACCTTCGTGCCTTCTTGAAACATCCCCAGTTTCCTCAGAGACTGGATTCCCTACTGGTCATTCCTGGTTTATGGGGAGGAATGCGAATCGGTCTTTTACACAAGCTGCTCGCCATGCATTGCGATGAGGTACGTCACTGTCCATGTTACGGAGCCGTTCACTTACGAACTACGTCGTAGCCAATCCTATGTTATTGGGATTTGATATTGAAGACCTTTCTGAACATCGTGGGGAACCGTCCAGATCGCCTGGCTCTGATAGATGGAGCGACGGTGAAGTTGCTTCAATCTCGCGCACCGAGAATCTCTCCACGCGACCGCGAATATTTGGAAACGAAGAGGAAGAGCGCCGAGCTGTTTTCGAACGCGTCACCTTCACTGCGAGAGGAACTTTGGCAACAACTTCAACAAATCGACTACCCAATCCCCACTTTGGAGACATTTTTCAAAGACCGTTCTTATCTGGAGGTCGGCCAAAGTGTTATGAAACAATTGTATTCCCCTGATCCACAGCGGCCGCTCACCGTCGATCAAAGAGTCTGTGAACTATTCGACACAGACTTGCCGGTAACCTCTACCGTTAGTCAGCAGATGCTGGGACACGATTTGCTGGAATTCTGGCGCTTCAGCTTCCAGTACGGATTTGAGATGACCGATCACCAACGCCGCAAAGCCCTGAATCAGGCTTCAGTAGAATCTACTCCTAGTCTGGTGTTGGAACAGTCTGCCGTGCCAGACAAAATGCGTATCTGGGGCCACTTTTGTCAGATTATACAATCAAGAGGCTTCCGACCTCCTAATCGATTTGTCGCCGCGCCTCGGGCCCAGCTTCCCGACCCAGATGCCTGTGATTTTCCTGACATAGGTCTGGAAGAAGACGTTGAAGTCGAGAAGCGCTCAGGAAAGCCATTCTCCAATACAATTGACGTAGATCGTCATGCTCTTTCTGCGGAATCCCTGCGACGGAGTTGGACGGCTCCTCAAGTGACGGCCGGATTTCTACGCAGATCCGTTTTCAAGGCATTTTTCTCTTATCTCATTCGAGACGGCCAAGATTTCAGTCAAGCTTTAGCAGCAGACATTACTTTAATCAATTCCGACGAGTATACGCGAGATTTTGAATATCAAAATGCTGATGTCAGCATCAGAGACGCCGAGATCATGTCAAGGATACAATCAACCTCTGAGCCTGGTTCCTCCGTTGAGACCGTAAGGCCTCAATTCAACACTACGGCCGAGGTCCATCAAGGCGTGGTAGCTTCGTTAAACCATGATCCATCGTACTTCTCAATGCGCGTCACAATAGGCAATCATGAGCCAAGGACTCTGTATCTACCCAATAGCGCTGAATTCATACGTTCGTTTCAGGAAGGGCTACTCCAGCATTTTTTCAACGTCAAGGAACCAGATGGGCGATTCATTCCTCAAGAAGATTGCTACACGTATTATCTCCTCCATCCAAAAGAAACACTTCATGCACAATACTATATGCTGGAGCCGACGATTTCTCCCGAATCGAATGATCGAAACAATTGGACAGATCCAATTCGGCACCGGGATGAAGAGAGGTTGATGAAACGAGCGGAAGACTGGATGAAGGAAGTTGTGCATTATTGCCATCAAAATGTAGGCTTTGGCATCGGTGAGGAACACCATTCTTCCTGATCAGTCTACCTCTAATATTAACTTTAACAGCTATTTAGATAATACAAATTGACTATCGGGGCGCAATTCTCAAGTAATTTCTGCTCAGTCTACAGACCTAGATCTTTTGGGCTCCAGAAAGCAATTAAACAGCCGCCTTTATGCCGCAAGATAATTCTGTATGAATGACCTCAGTTGACACATACAATGGTACCTGGTGTATTAGACCGGGCCTCTCGCGTCCTATCTGGGAAATGGTGTTCCTATCGCACGGCAGGAGAACTTATTTGAGTTTCACTGTCGAAAGGTAACTCACTTCGCCATTATCCGACGTTCAGATTTTCAAACATCATGGAGACCCTGTCTGCCCTTCTCCGGAGGACAAAATCACCCCGGCGTATATGATGATACTCTGCAACAAGATAGAATACATGATGATTTGACCTATGCGAGGAAGAACCCGCCATTCCAAAGTATTGCAACTGCATATCATATATATACCTGCACCAAGAGTATTTTGCAATGACATGTGAAGAAACTACCGCGAGCCCGACGTTCTCTCCGGATGTGACCAAGGCATGAAGAGTGGGAACAAGCGACAAAAGTCCGCAACGTGCACATATATATGGAAAATTAATATCGAGCGCTGCGGTATCGGATCTGCCAAAAGGATCGTTGAAGCTTGCAGTAAGCGTGAAGGTAGAGGCAATCCAGTATGAAGTTCGAAGCAAGGGTTGGAGCGGAAAAAGAATCCAAATGGCAACACAGTACATCCCCAAATAAGAAACAGAACCCTTGCATATTGCGCTCTTTTCCCCATACCGCATGGTAGCCTCAAACGCCGAACAGGATATGCGAGAAGAGTGAGGACGCGCACCAAAAAATGACCCCGAAGCAATACAAAAGGAGGGGCACTGTGTTGGTTGGATATGAGAGAATCGCTCGTTTCGCCAGAATGATAAAGTGTACAACCCCGAATAGAAGGATCAAAGATATTATTATCGAGTCCCAAACCCGAGGAAAACTCATATTGTCCTTGGGGAATATTGGAAATAGGGTTGACAATGGAAAGTCCTTGGTCAGGAGTTGGGTGGCCAGGTTTGGTACCTAGATGACAACGAATGGGAAGCAAATGCGCATCTGAGGGCCCGATGATAGCTCGGAAATAACAGGTTTGTAACCCACTTGCTGGGAGGGGCTTTGACAATTCAGTTACGTTGAGCGATTATCGCACTTTTCAATCGATTTCAATATGAAATAATGTTTATTCTATGAGTGGTTGCTCACAACAAGGTGAGACCGAGTCCTGTGGTAGCAGATCTGATGTCAACGGTGACAACCGGTCAACCAAGCGATCATGACGCCCAACGATTGGCCACCCGCCCAGAAGACTTCAGTGATTTACTAGGCTAAAGCAATACCCCGAAGCTTAGCTTGTTATAAAAATGGATATTTCACTGGCTTTACCGGCTGCTAGTAGCAGTTCAAGAGCCAACCGTTCAGATATTCCATAGACACTAATGATGGCTCAAGAGACGACCAATATCTTTGAAAATCTCTCCTATTACTGTGATTCGGACAGCACACCATCGGAGATCTCGTCGATACAATCATCAGAGGGAGACTTTGCCGAAATGAGCGAATGCGACGAGTTTGTCGTTTCAGATGGAGAGCATTCGGCCTACACGGAAGGTTCATCATTCTACGACAACAATCCGTTTGAGAATCCAGACTCAGAGCAGGACGGTATATCAGAAGTAGGTAGAACCGCGTGATAAGACCCCGTTTTGGGTATGTTTGTTGAAGGTCTAATCTGGATAACAGGCAGGCCATAAATTCCCGATCGGTGCTATCGCACAACGCATGACCAACCGAGACGGCGTTCTGATAACGCAATATCTTGTTCTTTGGCAATCTTGGGAAGACTCGGTCCCTGGGGGTTCATGGGGTCAAACGCATGGGGCTTGTAAGAAGAAGGAAGGAGACTGAATAAAGCCATAGCACTATCGCCGGGTGCTATCTACAAATTTATGGCGCCCTATTTATGTTGGAAACATAGAAGGCGATGAGAAACTACAAATTCCGTTTTGTCTAGTTTCTATCTACAATGTACAGTGTTAGGAGAGTAGACGAATGAACTTTGTCTCAAAGAATGAAGAGTTCATCAGCGTCGCCATGTACCATACATAATTAGCTGTCATTAACTGAAACTGTTGTATGAAATGCAGCCAATACGCGGGAATTTCAATGACTGGCACGAAGGCAGACTTGACAAATACAACTTTCGTGTTTTGACGATTTCATCAAATGAGAAAGAAAACCCGAACCCTGTGAGCCGTCCAATGCGCTGTACATGAATCCCGAGTAAACAAATTAAAACATTGATAGGTCTTGGTTGAAGAATTGTAGCCGTATCAGGGTCTGCTACTGTATAAGTTAGGGAGTGAAGTGGAATGTTGTATGATTATGGGAATTCCCGGTTGGTTCAACAGGGTCATTTTCAACTCATCTGTTAAGAACAGTGAAGCGATTTTCTTGCGGACATGGACACGCTTTAAACACCTGGTCCACAATCAGAACCCAAATTTCCTTCCAACTAGAGGGACTGTCCCCACCCGGAATATCTAACCTCACTTCCTCGGATTCTCTAGATATGACTGCTCGTGCAACTTTCTTGAGTACCAGTGTTGACACATTTGTCCCAAACTGAATATCGATATGAAATTTCAATCTGCTCCGAACTTGCAGCATTATTTGGACCTATCGAAAAGGGTTGTCTTTCCTGAGTCAGTATTAAACACATTTGCTGATCTCAAAAGCTTGACCCGTACGGCTCGATTAAAGCTTCCACCACCATCGATTCACCGATTTCCATTTATCTATTCAAAAACAGAGGAGTTGGTCTGGCGATGGGACCAATTAAGGCTATGCGGTCACAGCATCGATATTGTTCTAGAAACTACGGAGATGTCTGACGAGCAACCCGCCAACTGGCCGGATGCAGATCAGCAGTATGTCTGTGCCGAAGGCAGCGCCGTTAAAATCTTGCCTCCAGCACATCTTACCAATCTGGCCTGGGACAGCTACAAGATCGGAATACTCCAGTCACCTAGGCCATGCAGCTTGAGGGTGATTCTACTCGGTCTTCAGCGCCACCGTAAAATACTCAACTTCCAGAACTTTTTCCACTGTTGCCAAGATCCGGCGAGGGCATTTCATCACCGTCAGGTCGGATGGTCAACCGAATTCTGGGTCTCCGATTGCGTTGTCATCGACCGAATGGGCGCAGAAAAGCGACAGTCGGTAAGATCGGCGTTGCGCACTAACGAGCCGACAGAGAGGCTCTTCATCTGTGTTGGACTGCCAGTTACCACATTTGGCCCACTTTTTAATACTATTGTCTCGGCATATAACGGCGGTACCGACTCTTTTGGGTTGTCGAATGGCTTTATTTGGGTAGAAGCCCTGTTGGACTTGCACAAATTTTCCATAAAATTAAATCCCCCGCAGGACCCTGACCAGCATCCGTTTCTGAATATGCAGAGACAAATGGGCGACAAATCGTTGCTTGTCGAAGCAAAGCTCACCTTCACGTTGGAAACTTCAATTCGGATGAAAACAGTCATCCAGGCGGAGTTGCTCGAAGTGTCCAATATTCGCACCACTTCTACGCACAAACCAATTAATCACACAAGAATTGAGAGTACGGTGGTGTGAAAGAAAATCGTGCGGCTCACACACGTCCACAGTGCTATGATTCCGTGTATATTCTTTCTAGAAATGAAGTTTGGCATTTTAAGAGAGCTTATCCTATAGTCTCGACCACGCCATTACTATATACGACACACAGCGCGTGATAATAGCCATCCTACAAAACGATAGGAGGTTCATACTGGGATCGTTGCAATTGGCGTTCGGGACATCTATTCAAATACCGTTTAATATACTCAAAATAGTGATATCACACTCCGCCATCTTGATATTTGGGGACCCAGTCGTGGAAGAGGCTCGAAAATCTGTGTCTTAAGCGCATACCACCCACGTGAAATTCCGTTATTTTCATAGAAACCATAGCATCTAATCATTGTCTTCCTTAACTAATGAGCTTTCAGGGCAAGTGGTGCGGCTGTGTATGGAGCAAGGAATCATGGCCGTGAGATACCAATAAGGCGAGGAAGTCGCGATTACTTTGCCACCGTCATACCACCATCGCTCACAGTGAGTTGCCGTATACGTACCGTAGTGCATTAATAAGCGTGCTGATCTTTCAGGACTTAGCGACCTCGCCCCATGTTCCCAGGATCACTCGAGCCGATCCCAGGGCGGGCTCTTTGGATGAATCCAACAACAGGCAAATATGTTACGCCTAGGAAAGGACAAAAATGCGTTGTACTATGCATTTGGAATGTGAATTGACCAATACATCGTGCTGTCCTGATTGAGGCTTATTTACTTCGAAGGCCGTACCTGAGTTCAGGAATATAAATTCAAACAAACCATCTGTCATCAAGCTCACTCTGATATATCACCTTCAACATTCTATTTAAATACATAACCATCAACGCCCCTCGTCTTGACTTGTCAGATGTTCTCATGTCAGCAACTGTGGTCAATATGGCACACATGAAATTTCAGTGGATTGGGATTAGCCGCGATGAACCATCGTCCAAGTTACCCCGTGTTCGCCCTTGCCTTCCTTGCCGTACGGCAAAGACTGCGTGCAGCCGGGAGTCTCCCACCTGTGGGGCTTGCTTGAGGCGAAAGAGGCCATCATCGTGCATCTATGAAAACTCGTCTCCAATCAATGAGACTGGAACAACAGTAAAAAAGGGTATACCAAATACACAGGCGACCACAAACTCCACGCCGCGCGAGCAATCTTTCGCCGACATAGTTCAGCACGTCAAGGATGGTCTCGAGCCGCCACAAACTATCACTGAAAAGTCCTGCACTGGTGCTGGTCACTCCGCCAATTTGCACCATGTCCAAAACTCCGAGCCCTTGTCCCCCGAAGAGAATGAGGGCTCCACGACCAGCGCGGCCATTAGACTGGAAAATAATGACGAGGGAATGACTCGTCACGAATTTCACAGTCCTGAAATGAGTCAATCTACGCTAGAGACAGCGCTCTTTAGCGAAAGTCAACTCCACGTAATGTTGAATCTTGACCAACACCCGGCATCCGCCTACTGACCCTGCTCATGAATAGGTATTGCTTCCAACGTCTTACACGATTCACATTCCCAAAACGGACTATTCTGAGCCAACAACAACCAATCACACATTGTATCAACTCTTGCTTGTTTTAAACTACCTATTTGTCACTGTAATGCTCCCTGGGGATGAAGGATCCTTACATCATATCATACGCCGCGACGAAGTCGACTGGGACCGAGCCTTCGTCCCGCAGTACGGTAGGCTGAGGTCGTGGTTGACTGCAGCGCGCCGAGCTCTCACAGAGTCCAGACATCTCCCGACCGTATCAACAGAGGACCTGGAGCTGCAAATCAAATATTTATTGTCCGCTCTAAGTCAGCATGCATCTCCTCCATCGGCGTTTCTTTCATCAAACTGCGCACCGTCAGAACCTTCCTACCGACCCTTCGGCACTAAGGCGAGTGTGGCATTGATCTGTTACGCGTTCATGGTAATCAAAGCTTGCGAAATGAATGGATATGATCAGAAAGAGATATGGGCACTTGACGATGTAGCTCTCAGAACGATGGTGCTGCGACTCAACGATTCTCCACTTTTTCCGGCCCAGGTCACTCTTTCTCAGGTCCACTCCCTTATTGTGGGTCTTCAAAGGGCCTTTCAAGTTGAAGAGATTCGTGTCGCCTCTACGAAACCGCAGATCCTATATCTGGATCAAGATTCTCAAATTGAAAATTATTACCGGTCGGCCTTTTCAGCTTTGGATCCCGAGCTACTACCTAAGCTTTCCGTCATGATGCCTAGGAGAACACCCGCAAATGTGACCCCAGAGGATTCACTCACAGCCCTTGCAAAAGTCTTCCTAGTGTCAGATTCAGTGAAGGATCTTGAGGCTGCCGTTGCCCAAGTTCCTGAAATATGGGCGTCAAGATCAGATCGGTTTGTAGTCACAGAGATGTTTCATGTGAAGGCGTGGCACCATGCCTACTTGAGACGATCTTACGGTGAGTTTCTCTTTACCGAACCCTTATAGGCAAGTATGCCCGTAATTGCCTTCGCTGATAGTATGTAGAAAACCTATCACAGATATTTGTGTTTTATGTGTCTCTATCGGAGTATCTGCTTAGTTGAGTATAAAGAGTGCGGTTACATAATAATGATGCTATTAATCCGATCTTCGCACAACACCGAATCTATTTTCCCGGAATGACAAAATCACACAACTGCTACCGCCAGATTCGTGAGCTTCGGTCATTTCCTGCAATCAATCTGTGGCACATCCTTGACATCGCTCATATGAATCGCCGCTCTGGCGAGTCCGATAAGGTCGCGTACTGCCTGGTATCTCCCCGAGACAAGTGGTTGCTAGCGGTGATTAGTGCTTGAGAGAGATGCTGCAGCCGTATATTCCTTACCTGTCTTAAGACTATCAGGGATGACTCGCCCTTCGTGGCGTCGAGAAATTGAACAACGTTGCTTTGGCTGGATGGGCCGCTGAACGTGTCGCATGCATTTTCATCCCAGGTATTGGGAATCATAAGCTCCATCACGATGGATGGTACCGCGGCGATATAAGTCGTCTCGGCCTGGCTCGTGGTGCAATCCACACACTCTTCCAAACGTGCTGCAAGTTATCGGTAAGAATGTGGCTTAGAGAGAAGAAGCTCACAGACCAATCTTGACAACCCCGTCTAGTCCAAGTAATATGTCATTGCATTTCAAAAATGGATGTGTCAGCCCGGATGCACTGAGATACGATGCACCAGCGAGAACCTGATTATAAGTCAGCCAGTTTCGAGTTGCTTGGAAAGACAGCCTACTTGCGCTATCAGGCACCCGAGCTCAAACTCAGCAGGTCGTAAGTTTGGGCAAGCAACAATACGACCAAGGGTTAACGCCAGATTGTCGACAAGAAGAAAGATGGAATCACCATCAAGGTAACATCCCAACAAGGAGAGCACGTTTTGTGTTCAAGCTGTCCAAACCGTCCGATCAATCGACTGGTATCTTCTTTAGGGAACTGGCGAATAGTGACCACACGTGAAGGATGGGAGCGGCGAGTGGCGATGGTAACGTGCCCTGCACCATCATAGGTAATAACAGGGCGATATGTATCCCAAGGCGATTCGCGTCTGATGAGCAGGGCCGAGGTGACATCATCAATTCTACCCAAGTGAGAAAGGCAGAGGGTCTTTGGGCTCCCTGTGATGACCTTTGGAGTATGTATACGACGGAACGGGCGACTCGATCTTGTTCCTGTCTGATCCTTATTCATCAGAACAGCGAAACTATCAGCAGTGTCTGCAGTATGTGCTTGAGCCTGGATTGTGGCAAAGTTGAATAGCAGATGAGTCTGGAGTGGACTGTCCGTTATAGCGAAGAAAACGATGCTTGTCGAAAAAAGGAGATTCTTTCAGTATAAGTATCTCTAAGGAGTGTTCCCTTCCACCGGGTGGATTTGATAGAAGTGAAATAATAGAATGTCCACACATCCGTCACATTCATTGAAAATGCTGGTGGATCAACTAATTTGAGGGCACAGACCAGGCGTTGCGATGCATCTATTAAGTGAGGTGAGAAATGTGGGAACATAACCCAGTGACAAGATTGACATCACCATACCAAGGGTACTATCCTGGCAATGTGACTTTGAAATTAAGTTACAGAAATTCCTTTCGGTACATGATGAGAATTGGTTCCGGCGAGCTAATAATAATGTTGAAGTCTCAGCCTCTCCCTAATCCAAGCACGCTTTCTGCCCTTTGTAGTTGCTCCATTCTTCTCCAGATACACCTTCAAAGCTGCGTAATTCTTGGTTCCGCTTTTCCCTTCCTGTAAGAGCCGTGAAAGAGGGGTCATAAACGCCTTGTCCAATGCGTTAACATTGGCCCCATTTTCCACCAATATCCTTGCAGTGACATATGAGCCATACTGGGCAGCCCACGAAAGAGGCGTTCTGTGATGTCCGTCGCGAACATCGATAGGTGTACGAAAGGCCAAAAGTTGTAGTAAAAGCTCTCGGCAGTCACCCATGGCTGCATAATGCATGAGGGTCCTTTTGCAAGGGCCGTTGAGGTTGGAAACTCCATTTAGCTGGACAGCTGAGTGTGCTTGTTCAAGAAAATCCATGACATCTTCGCTGCATATGTTGTCTTTCATTCGCTTCAGCCGCCGCAATTGTCCGCCGATAACAGTACTATACACGGCCATGAGATGCGTGCAGTGCCTTTGCAGGTTTGAGATCTATGAGCTTGAAAGCAGAGCTTTATGAAATTGGATTCTACATCGGCATTTGGGATTTGTCATCTTATTATTCGATCAGTTCCGCAGAAAGTGGGTGTCTATAGGCAGTCAAATCTCTGCTGGTGGTCTATTATGCTTCAAGGTTAAAACCATTGCAAGAGAGTGTTCTTGTTGTCGACTGGCTCGCCGATGGAGAGACTTTCTGTAACAAAATAATCTTAACCAGCCTCAACTTCATGGTCATCGTCGCTCGTCCCAACGGCTATGGAATTTTGCGCCAGGACTGATGTCTAATCTAGAGCCGCGCCATCGACAAGTTGAGAAATCTTCAATCTTTTGCAATGAGACCTATTGGAATCAGACTCATCTGAGAAATGGTGTTTAACCGTCAAGGAGGGCCTTTGATCATGATGATCAAATCTACCAGACTGGCGTGCGGTGTTCAAAGTGACCATCCCTAGATCTGGAGACTGTTCATTTCCTCGGCCGTTACTCCCATTAACAATGCGAGAATTTGGCAGCCCAGGATGCTTTGGTCGGGGCGGAAAGCCATAGATTGCCTGTGAGCTGTTCAAAGAGATCATTGGATAATAGCGTTTCGAGCTCTGTAGATGGCGGTCATTGTTTTCTGGCTCACAAACTGTTGAGGGCACCCGCAGGGAGCATGCTCTACAGCACAGTCCACTGGATTTTCGTTAGTGTCAGTGGCGTTGCCACGATTTGTGGGGGAATGAGACCACGTACCTGCATCCCCATGAATCAAGTCTGCTCTCGCGCTACTACATTTCTCTTCATGGAGGACCACATGATACGGCGAATCGTGCATAGAGCGTTTGCGAAATGACTCCGTCTCGTTGTCTTCCCACATAATTCAACGCCCCAGCGAGGAACGACCTCGACACGGTGATTGTGTGGGGCATATGCCGAAGCAACCTCCGAATTTTCCGTAGGATCATCACTTCCGTGGTTTTGAAAGCGGCGGACCGACCCAGCAGGGGAACAAGGCAGAACTTGAGCAGCTGTTCCACAACATGATCGCAGAAAAATGACCCCCCGCCCAATTTGGAGGAGAGAATCTCGCGACAAAAGACTGGTCCGTGCGATCGTTCCATGTGCTGGCGTTTATTTTAACCCAAAGCGCTGAAGTGTTAGAAACGTGAGGCCCTTCGATTATGAATGCTGTTGCAAAAAACCTGACACTCCGATAAGGAACGTTCGCAGTAGCGTTTTCGTTTGTGATACATGTACCAGGGACATTCACAGGACAAAGAATAGACCCCATTGCTTGACCGAGTTCATCTAAAGCGGTCAGCACGAGTAACCTAATCTAACGATACCTTCCTCCTTCGATCCAGAGCGCTAGGATCGGGGCTTACCTGACAAAAAACTCCTAATCAGCAGAATCATGCAAGCGATTGTCTTCTGATAAGGCGCACTTGATCAAAAGAATTTTCGTACTCCTTCAGCGCTAGTTGGTTCTCACTAGACATCGTTGTGCTTGATACGCATTTTCGGCCACTTGGGTGTAAATCCACTGCTATTGGCAACGATTCGTTCCGGTATAACAATCCGCCTTCATTTGACATCGTCGGCGTGGTCATTGAATCAAGTCCCCGCAGGATGGGGTAGGCGTTCGAGCTAGGTGGCGCCGACATAGATAGAGAAGGATGCATCAAGAAGTACCGGCATATCTCTGAGCAGAAACAACCTTGCGTTGCTGGCCGATCGCAGATTAAACAGATTCTTGATGCCACGGCCATCCCTCAAATGAAACATTGGAAGCCAAAAGTTGGTACAGGAATCAACCTCCTTTGCACCGCCAAAAATGTTCGTCTACAATTTCAGCTACCTGAGCGCGATAATCTTGCCCAACGGCGGTGACAGTTTTGAACGAATCAATGATGACGACATGCAATGTCGACTGTGCAAGCAATTGGTCTTTCTGTGATCGGATACGCCACTTCCCGACGCCGATTGGCCCCCTTTAGCACGTGACCGGGTCGTCCTTTGTCGACGCCATACGAGATGACGGAACAAAGCTGTTCCGGTCCGTCAGTGTATTTAGCCAACCGTATCCACTAGTCCAAATACGATCGGTTTCCCCCTTTTTCCGTCTCGAGATTGTGGTGTAACCGGATATTCTGTTATTCCGCATGTATTTTATTATTGCCAGAACAAATAGTAATACAAAGTATTTGACACTGCTGAGTGGCCACGTAAAACGCGCCCCACGTACATACAGTCGTCAGTCCCAAAAGGGTTAGTCCAAGGCAAGGGTGATGACGAAATACACGCTTGAGGGTTTAGGGGAGCATATCATTTACGAGGTTTCAGCCAGTGCCCCATCTAAAAACTCCAATACATGATCATTTAGGTGCTATTCTGCATCTCATCCCTAATACTTTTCTTAAGCTCTCTGGGGTCTGAAAGACTTTATTCTTGCTTCAAAAAGTCCATCTGCAGCTGGGATAGTTATTTGCCTACTCATGTGAATTTGCTAGTGGGGCCAGTTGTCTAGTATGGCATTCGCTCAGATACTATTTATTTGGTCCCTGTATGCATTTGTGGTAGTTATCCTGCTTGCAGTGGCTTCTGTGTTTGTTCATATTTACCAAACTCCTCCGGATCGGTATCCATCTGTGACTTTCACGTGTGTCATCGCGATCACAAGTCTTCTTGGGACGGTGCTCCTTCTGCCGGTGGACGTGGCACTTGTTTCATCGACAACCTCGCCCAATCTTGGCCGACGGAAAGACTGGGCCACGCAGGATGAGATTGACAAGATTACATACTCCTTAACAGTTGTCTACTATCTGCTGTTTTCATTGGATGCACTGCTTTGTCTCCTGGGGATCCCATTTGCATATTTCTGGTGCGAGGAATATGACGAGTGTGCAACAGAAACGTCTCAGCAAATGGTTGGGTGGCGGCTTTGGGGCGCCCTCAAGTACACCATGTCATTCGTTGCAATTTTGACTATCCTGTTCCTTGCCGGACTTTTTGTCCCAGTGTCGAGAAATAAGGAAGGCACGGATCCGGACTATTTCAAGAAATTGTTGGCTGCGAATCGTGAGTTTTTACGACCTTCCCTGGTGATTTTGGGGCCACGAAGTGATATGAATCCATACAGGTGGAGAACGTGCTCTTACTTTTGCCATTGCCGTGCTGATGGCCATCGGAATATGCCTCTATGCTCTATATACTTCCTCGGGTCTTGCGCTCTTCCCAATCAGCTTAATCAAGGCTGCCCCATCAATCTCCAATACGCGCTTACAAGCCAGTGCGGCAGTACAGCTCGAGAGAAATCGTGAACGGCAACGTCAGCTGGAAGGCCGTTGCGAAGGAAATTGCGATCTGCTATCGTCCAAGGATCGCAGGGAGCTTGATACTCTCGCACGGGAGGAGAGGACGCTTCTTCAGCGACAACGCCTAGGAGACGATGCTCAAGGCGAAGGTTGGAACTGGTTGACGAAGGCGTGGTTCAATATCGAGGCAGTTTTCCGTCCCTTCAAGTTTCCGGGTGGCATTTTACTACTTTTGGTCACGTTCATTGCATGGGTGTCCATGCTTTTGACTGCAATTGACAAAGCAAAAAACTCGATCTGTAAGAACCTTTGTGGGTATATCCTCGGGCGCGTCAACATTTTTAATCCCGTCAACTGGGCTCTCGTTCAATGTGCGAACGTATTTCCGGTTGATTATGCTCTTTTCACCTTGATTGTGCTTCTTTTTTCTGCAGTTCTGTTGTCGGGATTGCTGCAGTGGGAATCCGCTTTGTGCGGGTCAGAGTATTCCAAATCCGACAGTGGCACACGCCCCCCCAGGCTTTACTTTTAGCGACCGAGATGTTGATGTTGACTATCTTGGCGTTGAGTTATTCTATTTCGATGTTGCTTGCTCCGCAGTACGCAACATTCGGCCTTCAAACCTTCTGTGATCGTGCCCCTGAGCCGCCCCTTGACCAGCCGGATTGCTCAAACAACAAGAATAGTATCAAACCATGCTCAGGTCCGACGGACAACCCCGCAGCACAACAAGTCTGCACACCCAGTATTGCCAGTACCTTCCTCAATCGCATCACTCATAATTATCCTTTCCTCGGGGCCGTATTCTTTTGGGCGCAATTCCTCTTTCTCGGTAAGTAATCCATTCCTTTAGTCACCCTGTGTAAGTCAAATGGGTTTCAATCTAACAATAAATCAATGAAAAGGCCTTTATCTTGTCACTTTTCTCTCATTTCTGGTTCGCTCTCAGGACTTAGGCGAGAGGCAGCTCGACGAAGATGACGAGGAGGCTGAGGAGGAAGGATTGTTGCCCAGAAATGGCAGACGCTTTTACTCCACGTGGCAGTAAATCCCCGGAACGTTGCCTGAATTTTAGGACCAATCCATCTCAGTAAGCAGTCATGGCTATTATTGTCTAGTTCAAGTTCCCAGAGCAATCACTAGTCATCTCAAGATCAACGGAAGTATATTTTGTGACAACTTTTCTCAAGAAATCCAATCTTTCTAATTGCTTCTTCTCAACACCAGCACAACCTGGAGCTTAAAAACTATAAAAATCTTGCACTTTCAGAAAATGTCAACACACAGACAAACCTCTTCATTGCCATATCCCTTCCACAAAGACGATCAGCTCAATAGTGATCTCGACGCATCACTTGATCATTTGCCAGGTCATCCCCGGGTCAAACTTGGTGATCGTAAAGGCTTGTTTCGTTTCATGCGCCAGGAAGTCTGGTCAGAGGACCTCGAACCGATCTCGGGAAGACTTTGGTGGATGTCGAAACAGGATAGCTGCAATATCTCTCCGTTGCATCGACAGCGAGTAAAGGGCCGACAAATCATTGTTACCGAGGATCCTCGATTACATCTCGTCTGGATCGACGACCGAATCTTTCTTAAGCCCTTCCCCAGTACATAACGTCATACGCATTCTGGGACACATTTATGAGCGATCCGTCTCAATATGGTGCGACAGCGAACCTCAGAGCGCTTGGGTATCTGCGAACGTATTTCTACCTGATCCAGTATGAATCAGATCTACGAATCGCACAAGACTCGGCTCTCTGCCTCGTTGCTAAAGAAGTGACCTAGCCTCAGTTCTGCCAGTCTACTGCCCGTTTCAACGACATAACGGAAAACGAAGTTTCAGGCCTATATCATTATGGGGAGATCCGATTAACCCGATTGAACTATTGCGCGTCTATACTCCTGCGGAAAAGCCACTACCAACGTGAGAATTATCAGTATCGAGCATATTTCGCTCGAATTCAAGGCCCCTTGATATCTGCATTTGCTTTTTTCTCGATTGCCCTCAACTGTATGCAGGTCAGCCTCGCAGCCTCTTCTTCCGATCAGAAGTATTCAAGTGCTTTTTTATTTGCCGGTTGCTACTGGATCAGCACTTTAATCAGATCTGTGTCCGGTACCCTCATGCTGATCTTGATATTTCTTTTCCTATTCAAAGTGGTCAGGGAATGGAGGTTTGCGATAGCCCATCGGTTACGGTGGAAAAAGAATCCGCAGCAAAGACCGCCGGAGGGCCATGTGTAACGAAGAACCCGAACAGATATCAGGGCATTTTACTATATAGGATGTTAGATTGGCAGTTAAATTATTCTCGACCGGCGAGTCAAATGGGGTCTTTTTGAACATAGATTTCCCTGGTTACAGACTGGCGAATCCCACAAAATTTAGAGGAGATGCATTGAATGCCACATGAAGCTTCACCACGCTGCCAAGGACGACATCTGGAGAATGATGATCTTACGAACTCGTAGGTCCCTTATGACTGTTGATCTGTTGCCCAAACTCGACCAAGCACGGACAATGGGCGTGGCGTGGAAGCGGTTGAGATTGCATATGACAGTGCCGTGTTACCAAGCTTATCAAGTTGATCTACGTAGATCAATTTCTACGACTCTTCCTTATCCTGAAGGACAACATCGATTGTTTCCACAATTTCCATCTCCTGCCCCAGTACAGCTACGTGTAGGGTCATTGCCATGTTGTTTGTGTCAAAGATTGCACATGGACTGTGTATGAGGTATTTATTTGCTGCTTCGTAACTGCGGCAATTAAGCATACTATGAAATATTGGCCAGTTGTACTCTGCACATCCGCGGACAATCTCTTGAAAGACATCTTCTGACAGATTTGTCCTTGAATTGACTGCTATAAGCGAGTCGATATCTCGCAGTATCGATGGCTCAGAATTGATTGCATGCTGTACGATGCACTGTAACCAGCTCTTGGGCCAAGAATGCCGCGCGAATAAAGTTATGAGACCACCAAGGTTTCTGATTGATGGTCCGACTCTACGTTTGAGAAATTCCACAGACGACAGGAAAAGATCCCATCGACAAAATACGAAGGAGCCCACATCTTCCACGGAAAGATAGTCCAGGATATCGTACAACAATTCGATAGGAAGTGAAAAGATATGTGTCTTTGAGATCTCACAAACCATAGTAGGTTTTCTTGCAACTCTGGAATCAAGTCCAAGCTAGTCGCAATTGGTCCGTGTCTGGCACTTCCTATTACCACTTTCGGTTCGGTGGGTGGAGGGTAAACAACGTTTACTGTCTTTGCCAATGACAGTAAAGATTGGTCATTACATATGTTTGAAGTTTTATGTTCGCATTAACTCAGGGAATTGGATCGGAATTAATATAATGGGTTTCTCCTGGGCCGGGACGGAAAGTAAACTCAAAGTCTACGCGTACTTCATGTGTTTTAGAAGAAACCGAGTGTGCTAATCATGGTTTCCTATTCTAGAGCCCTTGCAAAGGTCAGATATCACGCAATTCGTATCTTTTGTACGGTCTGAGCTCAATTTTGGGCCAAATGAAATGCTTCCCTCCTATTTTGCATTTCTTTTCAACAACAAGCTGCCGTGGAGGGAACATGTACAGCAGGTTGTCAAACAAACCACCTAGGTCAATATTGTAATAAACTTGTCTGGGATTGTCATACAATGATGCACTTATCCTCTATCACGGCGTCCATGGTTTACAGCACCATTCGAAATTTGCTTCCATCTTTTACACAGATGAGTTCATCTGTAAGGTGGGGCCAGCGCAAGGTCTTCTCTGTGTATATGCAGTCATTCTTTAGTGATGGCAGTGCCTCGGGGCCTCTCACCCCTGTTTCAGTGGAGAAAAATTCACTGATAATTTAGAGAATCTAGCTCGGTGCGATTATTTGCCGTCAAAATTGCCAAGACCACAAGACTCTGAGTGGCCCTCTCTTTTTTCACTATTTTTCTTACCCAACCCGTAACGCGTATTTGTGCTTCTCATCTACAGTATCATCCAGGTAATTATGTCGTCTATGCGCTGTAACGTGGTAATTTTCTTGGGAAGTTGTGATTCTTACTTCCACTGGTCAAACCCTGCCTCGAAATGAATATGTGTGATACTCTCAACATACCTATAATGGAGAGCAGAATACAGTGTGGTCCCCGCGAGAATTAGCAGTGTTGTTGATACAGCCTTGGATATTGCTGACAGCTGGACCTGAAGGATTCGCTTTCGGTGCGCGTCGGCGTCGATTGAGAAATTGAAACAGCTTGTGTAGTTCCAAAGCCTCAGGACATGTCCACCCATTTTGTACCGATTCCGGGAGGAAATGCCGCTCGACATACCAAAATGCATGATGTTCGAGATGGCGCTGGATTGACTGAAGAATCATAGGCTGTACCGGAAACGGAACCCGGCCCTCTGGTATCCCGAGGAGAGAATATAATGCGTAGAGTACTTCTGGTCAACAGTCAGTGAAAAGACGTTGGCATCATCCGAATTGTGTTCTAACCGGACACGGGTTTTTCTTGCAGGGAACGGACGAAACATCTGAGCATTCTATACGAAGTGTATTAGAGAGCGTCTAGGTTGAAGAAGAAGCCATGTTCGTACTCACCTTATGGTTTCCGGTCGTGAACGCACGCGGGCGAGCGGAGATGTCTGATGGACAGTCATTTCCTGGCCAGGCCGCGACATCCTCTTGACGCATTTTCCACCAGACAATTCTCGCTTTCGGATTCGCCGCGTTATCTTCGGCATTGTGCTGTCCCGGCGTTCCGTAGTGTAAGGGGCGAAGACCTAGTCTGATAGACCGTTTAAAAAATTGGCCTTTTAGCCAGCCAGACAGTCAGCCAAGATGTGCTGAGAAAAGTAGCATATACTGATAATAGTCATGAAGAGGAGAGGACGCCAAACCCACAATTGGACCGCAGGTACCTGTATAGTCGACTAGGCTGGCCACGTAACCGGGAGAATCTTCCTCTTTCCAGGCATTTTTCAAACGCAACCAATGTTGCTCAACGCTCGGTTAACGCGCTTTTCAACGACCGTTGAAGGTGATTCACCGTAAACATCTTGAATATGAGATGCAGCCGCCAAGATGTGGTTCCGAGGGTGGCCCCGTCTAGATTCATGCACGCCACGGTTCGAAGTGGGGCGCTTGGCGAGATTGGCTGCAAACTCTAGATCGCATACTTCAACGGATGTTTGAATCACCTCAACTGGCGGCAAAAACGAAGTGTTTCCTACAGATTTACAGTGCAGTCCACCACTTCTCCCATAGATTTTGCATATCTGGCAGCTACGAGCATCCGTAGGCGAAAATGCATAAAAGGACACTCCACAACCGGTCTAGGAAATTCAGGACTTCCATCCTCATCCTCCGAGACGGCACGGTCTTGTCTGCCCGTAGAGTTCAAATCTTTTTGGTCTTAGCATTCACTGTCATGAGCCCAGTGAAGTGGGGGATACGTCCTCTCGGAGGACACGCTCTGCGTTATCAGGGGAATCTGCAGGGGAGAGCTGCGAAAACAAGGACCTCCGCAGAAGACGACTGCGACAACAAGCGACTCCGCAGGGGAGAGCTGCGCAACCAAGGACCTCCGCAGGGAAGAGCTGCGTAACCAAGGGACTTCGCAGGGGAGAGCTGCGCAACCAAGGACCTCCGCAGGGGGGCGCTGCGATAACAAGTGAACTCCGCAGATAGGAACTGTGATGACAAAATCCTCACAGGGGGGCGCTGCGTTACGAAGTGAACTCCGCAGATAGGATCTGTGATGACAAAATCCTCGCAGCTTGAGGTCTGCTTTACCAACATCCTCCCTCACAGACCATGAGCCCTGTGTTTGTAAAAGCGTGCTCGATCGGGTAGGACCTGGGGCCAGGGTCTACACCATGATCCTCTAGCGACATGCAGGCACCTCTCCGTGGTGCTAGGGACCAGTATTCAAGTGTCGCTTCGGCGCTTGAAGAAGCCAAGACCTGCACGACTCATCTCTGGGTACATTATGTAGCCCGAACCATGTAGCCCGAACCATGGGAGAAATCGATACAGTAGCGTTGCAATGAAGACAAATTCTCGATTCTGACTTATCCTGATGTAGAGTTAGATCTTGTAAGCCCTATCACCGAAATTCCAATATAAAGGAGGACACTACGTGGAAATCCTTAAATCGCACGAGAAGAACGATCATACATACAATATTGTCTTATCGAATGGAGACAATTAGATCACAGGCGACCCGTCAGTATTAGAAGCATTTGTTCACGGCGGTGTCTCCCATGTAATTCACGGATATTGAGATGCTTGTTGACGGTGTTGACGGTGTTGACGGTGTTGACGGTGTTGACGGTGTTGACGGTGTTGACGGTGTTGACGGTGTTGACGGTGTTGACGGTGTTGATGGTGAGGATGGTGAGGACAGTGAGGATGGTGAGGACGGTGAGGACGGTGAGGATGGTGAGGATGGTGTTGACGCTGCGTTGATGAACGGAAGTGGTGAAACGTTGAAACTGTGAATCACCAGGCGGTGAACCAGGCTCATCCCTAGCGCCACACATATTTGCCCGTTAGGCACAAGACCCCACCTACACAAGTTACTTTTTTATTTGCAGTGTGCATTACGCGCTTTTCGTCAGCAGGCAGGTTGGGACCGGCTTGTCAGGATCGCTTTTGTGAGGTCGTACTTGGCTGCTAAACATTGTATCCCACATACATAATTCAACGGTGACGGTCAATCCAATGATTGATTATGGTTGCAAACGCTCCTCCAACGGGGCTTTTTTTTGTTCACCGCAGCACTTGTTGACTCAACCGCACTCGCAACATCAAAATTACATTTCTGTGCTGCGACTATTACATGGTTGAGGCGGTAGACTGGAATATTTGGCAGCTCACACTTCGCAAATAAACATGGGTGATATGAATTGCGGCTTTGCCAATTAGGACCCACTGGTGTTAATTTGCGGTCGCGCTTTCTGACATTAGGAACCACGACACTTTACCAGATCCGATGGGATCCATTAAATTTTTGGACGGCGACTTGTTTGATCTTGAATTTTGAATGGCAAACACATGTTTCTTGTCGTGTGTTGGGTAATACGCGGGTTCATGGCTGCATGATATTTTAATCCGTTCTCTAGCTAAATGGACAAAATATATCTTGTCCTTCTATGACTTGAATGCATATTCTACACAACACCAACACCTGGGGGTGGTCGCAGGTGCCAGCAATTTGCAGGACTGCGTTCTTTGAACAGACTTTGCCTTTCTGAACCACTTTTCTTCACCTGAATAAGCCGATATTGAGACCAAATAAGAACCAAACCCTATCTGGAACTTTTTGGACCTCGGAGGTGATCCGTGCTACCTGTTAATGTCTCATTCCATTAACAACGTTAATTGAAATAAATGTAATGCTTTTTGGCCTAGTGGTTACTTTCTCCACTGGGGTCGCGCGTTTCGCGTTCGAATCCTCCGGGCGTCGTCATTTCCGAATGATACTTAGATTTTTTGCATTTGATCAGTTTCCTCTCACGGATTTGGCTATTCGGTGTTCAATTTAGTCTTCACTTCTGTGTTGTGTTATATATTGCTCAAATATGACAGCAAAACCACCTTCGCCCAAGTAGAGACGGCTCGCGTCGCGTCGCGTGGATGTAGCTCGTGTCTCCGCACTTCCACCGATCGCCTCTAGTGTTCGTCATTAACATAACGCGTCACCAAAAAGATATTTCAATCCCCTGCTCTCATGGCAAACCCAGTTCAAAAATCGGGCAGGCCTATATTTACCTCTCTGACCGGCAAGCCATCGGACGTCAGCTGTCCGCGAAAACAAGGGTCGTATGCAGAGCTAGTTGGATCAAGAGTGGCCACGTAGCGATTGCGGCCTCCTTGTCTTCCATGCGTGGCATAGTGGGCTTTGAGGTTATCGCGACGCGAGAAGCTGCGCTGGCACCCCGGAACCCAGCAAGGATGAGGTTTTCCCGCCAAGTGGCCGGACAGATGACGCTGAAGGCCTTTGAAGTAGCGGAAGCGACCTTCACACCCTGCAACGCTGCATTTGAATTGTCGCCGCTGAAACCGCCAGGGTATGCTGTTGCGACTGCGACTCGAGTATCTCTGGTTGCCACAGACGAGGCGTGTGAATTCCTCAAAGTCATGCCAGGAGGTCGTCCTCCACTCACTGTCGGGCGTCTCACCAAATAAGGCATTGTCGCTCCTATTCAGCATGGCTACACTGCATGACTCGGCAGTGGGGTCTCTTGCGAAGACTTCAACTCCAGGCTCTAGGTCAGAGTCGTCTTTGTACCATACCGAATTCTGATGCTGGGCTTGCTTGGCATATGCATAAATCGAAAATTCCATACTGGGACAGATGCTGCCTAGGAAGCCGATCCAGTGTACTGTGACTTGGCTGTGACCAGCTTGGAGAACCGGCCATTGACAGGGGCCCTGCGAAGGGTAGGAAAGGTTCCATTCTGCATAGCTCGTTAACTGATGTGCTTGATTCAATCGCTCTATGCGGAGTAGACCGTGACTCCTTACCAGTGTGGTAGTCTCCTCTATCATCCTCCACCGACGGGAGCGCTGTCTTAACCTGTGGATGCATTTTGCTGATGGGCAGACTTAAAAATCTCTGGAGACACGAACATCAGGTCTTGAACAGGTTAGGAGATATACGTGAAAGGCAAGCCAGCAAGATAAGGTATTGAACTTAGCTAGGAAGAGGTAGCAACTAGCAAATGCTGTACTGTACGGGACGTGCAGATGTTGCTAGTAGATCCGCTTTGCTAAAATCTTCAACTGTGAAGAGAATCTGCTTCAACCGGCCTAGATCAAGCCCAGTTGCGTGAGCTTGAGCGGGGAAGGTGATCCTTTCACTAGGCATTATTCCGTTGATTCACACTATCAACGTTTGACCATCCTAATCATATACTCAATTGTGTGTGCGGTCATTATTTTGGAACAATTTCTATCTCAGTTCACTGGAACATACATCGAAAAAGATTTAAATTCTCGTGCAATGTCGCGAAGTATCTAAGCATCTTCCATGATCAAGCGAGGCCTAATATAGACGCTTCCCGTGCTAGACCTGTCGAAGACCATCCGGATAATCAGCTCGCAAATGACCATCCTCAGACCGGTAAACCTGCCCCCGAGAATCAGGACACCCCGCAGATTGCGGTCGAACGACCCTCTGACCTACCTGCTGTGAGTAGGCAAAGCACGACCATTTTGATGATTGAGCTGACCACCGCTGGACAGCCCGAAGATCCACAGAGACCTCCCTTGATGGATCAGCCGTTTGAGTCTGCTATGGAAGCCCTCGCGCGGCTCGAACGCGAAGACCCTAAACTTACGTTCCAAGCCGCGAGAATCGTGGGACTGTATCGGCGCTTGTGGGAGTCATGCACATCAAAGCATATAGAGGGAAGCAAGTTGGCCAAAGCGAATCACGGTCTACGAGAGACTCACCGACATTTGACCGACGAGAAGAACACAATGCAGTCATGCCACGATGACCAAATCGCTCGGTTGCAATTCTTTGACCAGGCGCTAGGAGTCGTCTCGGCTTCGATTGACCGATATACTCAAGGAATGGAACCGCTACTCCGATGGTCTTGACTCAAAGCTTAGTGAATAAATACGGGGGCGAAAGGCATGGTGGCAGCAGTGGAACCATCACTCTATGATAGGAGGTATTTTGGAAAACTCAATGAGATGATGACCAGGATTCAATGGAACTTTTCATCTTCACGCTTTCCACCTACGTAATGTCGCCGTTAGAGCAGCAATGTCCGCTCTATTGACAAGGGGCGGAACAAAATTAGCCGTCGTTATTGTTGTCGAGGAGATTGGCCATGACTTTGACATCAATGACACGAAAAATGTGACTAAGGATTCGTCGGTATAGTGTCTCGGGAATGAATCTAAGTGTGGACAGCGGTATTGCGGTGGGGTAAGAATCATAATTTCCAACACAAGTCCCCGACAGCCGGTCGAGTATAAATTGAACAAGCCATATTATGTAATTTTCTACTGGGTGTTGAGTGGAAACGAAAGGGATGGAGGGTAAGCGTGGAGCCGCATTTGTTTTGAAGCTATCCACTTGGTGAGAACTCGCGCAGACAATCCAGGAACAGTGATGTTGGTCACAGCAAAACAAGCGATCGTATACAGCGAAGACAGCGAATAAACGAACACATCGTGGGCCAGGAATTAAGCAACTAACTCAGCTTGCATCGCATTCCATCGCGCCATAGAGACTAGTTCAACTCGACCATCCTGTAGGCGCGTTTCTCGCTCGCCTTCAAAACCTCGACAATCCCCTCATTTAAGGCGGCCACAGCTTGCCTCCGGTCAAACAGCTCCAGAGCCCGATCGTTGCAGCACTGGCACAATACATCACATTCGGTGGTTAGCCATTCGATTGACCTCTGGAGAAGATGCTGCTCTTCCTCAAGTTGTATCTTTAATGCAGAATCGACGACATAGCATTTCCACAGGCAGAGATAAACGTCAAGAAGGCCGACTATGGGGGCTGCGAGGGAGTTGTGATGACGCAATATGTATTTAAACTCTGTGGTGAGGCTTGATAAACTAGCGGGAGCCTGAATCATCTCGAATCAGCATTGTCATACAATAGAAGGGAAGGCTATTTAACCTTATTTCCACCCGCCGAAATGATTTTCTCAAGGGCTTGATCGTGCATTTGCTCCGGCAGCTCACCGTCCACCTCCCGGAGTACGTGTTGTTTTTTGGAGGACTGGAAAGTAGGAGAAGACAAAGGACGTTTCGAAGAGCTCATGGTGTTCGTGTTGCTGGATGTAATCTGACTCTCATGAGTGCTTTAAATAGGCAGCGGATCTGTTCCTGATATAATATACATAATATCACCAGTGCAACGGTGGCCTCCTTAACGTTGGCGTTCACAGTTTGTCAAAGTCCAAGTGCTCTCCACGGAAACGATCAAGTTCCATCAACGTTGAGACTTGGTCCGTCGAATCCAGTCCTTAAGTCCATAGCCTCGACCGCCCTTAGCTCTCAGACCATTGAACGGAATCCATAGCCAATGAAAAAGTTGAATGTGACATGTGCAAGTGGCCACAGGAAGCACAGTTCGGCCGTTCTCGCCTCGAATTGTGATATCGAGCAGGGGCTTGAACAAATTTTCCTTGCCTGCACAGGTTCCGTAATTGACAGCGTACGTCATGGCATTTTCTCCCTCTCGATCCTGAATCCGAATGTTAATCCTCTTATGGCTGAGCAGAAGTTCGAGAACGTCCATCGAACCATGCTGAATAGCTCTCATCAAAGGAGTCTTTCCTTGCAGGAAGGTGTTGGCATCGGCACCATAAAGAAGCATGAGCTCGGCCCGACCCTGGCTGCTAAGTGCAGGAGATTGCTGTTCTGGAACTGAATGTTGTACTGGAGGATGCTGGGCTGCAATCTGCAGTAAAGATTCCAACATGAGCTGCCCAAAGAGACCATGTCAC